CACTTTTGTGGAAAACAGTCAAGAACTATTATATAGATATATATGCTGTGAGTGGCAGCATCTAATTAGATTATTTTTGTTAGTAGTTTAAATTAGATGTATTATTTTACAGGTGCAATTTCTCTTTGAATTTCCCACACCATTCTTTAAAGGTCCCTCTCCCTCCTGCAAGGAAAAAATTTGTTTAGGATTTTTATTCCTTTATTCAAATGTTTGATAATTTAGACACTTAAGGTGGATATGTGAAAGCACTTGATTTTGAATAGGAATTATTTTTAAAAACAAATTTAAAAAAATTGGACTTACACATTCTGAAAGTTACAACAAGTGTAATTGTACTATATCAATTAAATTATAAATTTTGTATTCATCCCAATGACCCTCACAAACAAAACAGCCATTCTCAGAGACAATTTCATGAATAGCAGACCTGTTTACTCTTACGATTTTGGCATACAATGTACCATTTTGAGGTTTATAGATAGTATATACTGTATGTTTATTTTTTTTACAATAAATATAACGTATTGAAAGATTTTGTGATGATATCGTACGATTTAGAGTTTGAGGGTAAAAAGGTCTGCAGTTTCCAGCTTACTGTCTCGTAGTCGATGGGTCCAGCCACAGACAACTCCCCTGACAGGCGATCGATGTCAAAATAAGGGCCCAGGCCTTCATTTGGCCCTGAGTAAGATTCAATGGAGTAGCGGACGGTTCCGTTGATCCCAGAGTCGCGGTCCGTGGCGATGAACTTGTGGATGACCTGGTGCTCTGGCGTGTTCTCCGCAATGGTGCGGATGATGACGGGGTCTTGGTCAAACACCGGTGTGTTGTCATTGACGTCTATGATCTGTTGGATGGAACACAATTCAAAAGTGAAGTTAGCACATGAGGGAAGTGCATTGATCAGGCAGATTGTCATCCACTGGCATGTTTCATTAAAGACAAGGAAGCCATCATGACACAATTAATAAAAGGTTACATGAACCTCATATTCAGGTTGAGTGTGTGCATCCATTTAGGAAATGATAACTTCCAGGACGGTATTCTCTAATGAATTCTTTAAATTGGTTGTAAGTTTTGGCTTGCTGGGAATAATATTTATTGATGCCATAGAGAGACCATTGTAGCTGAGATAAAAACTTGTGTGAGATTTCAAACAATGGAGACTGAAGACATAATTAGTCTTCTTAAGGAAAAATAATACAACTGTACGGCATATCTAAATTTAAAAAACCACCAAAAAAAAACAAACACACAAACTACACCATTACTTACGATGATTGTGACAGTGATGTTGCTGCTGCGGGGTAAGGCTGCGCTGCTGTCCACGGCCTGAATGTTTAAAATGTGATACGATGCCTCTTCGTAATCAATGTCCCGTATGGTTGTAACAACTCCAGAAGTGCGGTCCACGGAGAAACAGCTGAACACATTGCCTCCGGTCAGATAGTAGTTGACTTTCCCATTGGTTCCAGAGTCCTTGTCTGTGGCATTGACCTTGCCAACAACAGTTCCCATGCTCACATTCTCCACGCACTTGAGGCTGACGTGCTGGGCGGGAGACAGGGGGGGCTGGTCGTTAACGTCCAGCACCGAGACGGTCAGCGGTTGGGATGTCTCTCGGAAAGGGACCCCGTTGTCTCTGGCCACCACGGTCATATGGTAGACGGTCTGATTTTCATAGTCTAAGACTTCCCGGGTGGTTACTTTTCCTGAACTTGGGTGGATATCAAAACTATACAAGGCTGATGGCTCTGAGCGACCTAAGTACAGAAATAGGGAACTTTTTACAAACATATACAGTGTCATTTTAAACAAAAGTTAATTTCATCAATTGGCAAAATTTGTTTAGTCTACATTTTTAAAAAATCTGTCAAGATTACAAGAAGGAAATGATAAATTTAAAAACATGAATGGGGTTCAGTTTTTGGGAACAATTTTATAGCCATTGTTTATCTTATGGGTAAACGGCAATCTCTTTCTTCTTATTTTTAAATTTTTGGATAGAATTTAATGGCACGTGAGGGCTTTGATGTTTGTGTCATTGTGAGAGGAATTGAGAACTTCAGCCTTCAACTCCGTCATGGGTATAATCCGTTCAGTATGACATTCAAGTGTTTGATAAAACATGCTAATAAAGTGTGTACTGCATTTAAATCATTCAAGTAGCAGTTGGCTTTGGCCCTCTTGAAAATTCAAGAATCACGCTTTATAAAAAGGAAAGTGATCTTAATATTGATAATTGGGGAATGTGATGGATCATTTGAGTCATTCAAGTAAACAGGCTTTATAAAGGAAACTGATCTTAATATTTATCATTGAGGTATGTGGTCCGTTCTGTTTAAGTTTGAGATTTTCCTGAAGTGTCACCTGACACCAAAAAGTTGGGAACCACTAGTTTTACAAGCCAAGAAAATTAAATTAAAGATGTGTAATGAATCACTACTAAGATGCATGTTAGAATAGAAAATACAACTATCACTTGGAATCACTACAAGCATGTGGTACAATTTTTTGGGTGGTTAAAACTTGCAAATACTAAGAAACTTGATGCATGAAAATGTTTAAAAACACAGGAGCCCCCAGCGAAGAGGATGACACCTGGGGCTGTCAACCTTGGCTTAGCCTGGCCCAGAAGAGAGGAGACGGTTTTGTGTTGACTCAGGATTGGGACAAATTTGATTCTCTTTTAAGTGGGTAAAACCTCCACAGAGTGTGAAGGCAGAGATGTTCAATATTGTACTTGTGTTAAAACGGGATGGGTTCACCACCGACAGCAGGGAACACTTTCGTGTTAAACAGTTGTGATATATGAAGGCCGTCGATAAATGAAATTTGTTTTTTTTAATTTCAAAGTTACATACAAACCACATTATTAAAGGTCTGCGAGTTGATCAACATCTAAAAATTACAACTGCTAAAAAGTCTTGTAAAATAGAAAAGAGAACAGGCACGCTGTCCAGGAACTAAAGAGTTATTTTAAAAAAATAAAAAAATTAAAGCAATGATTTTGATGGACTTACTCTTATCCAAGAAGTAGCTGATGAGACCGTTGTCTCCTTCGTCGGGATCAACTGCCACCAGGGTGGTCAGTTCAGTGCCTTTCGGCCTGTTCTCGGACACGCTGAGGGAAAACGGTCCCTGTCTTTTGAAAGTTGGGTCGTTGTCATTATCGTCCTGGACCTTGACCTTCACCCTTGTGTGAGCAGTTCTCTGAGGGTCCCCTTTATCTGACACGTAAACGGTCAGCAGGTGCTCCGCCACAGTCTCCCTGTCTAGAGAGACTTGGGTTCGAATCTCGCCGTTTATGGAATTAATGGTGAAGTTTGTTTGCGGGGTGGAGAAAAAGAACTGCAGTAATCCATTGTTGCCAATGTCACGGTCATTCGCGATAACTTGACCAACAAGACTGTTGGGGGACAGATTTTCCCGGATTGAAAACCTATACTGGTCTCGGGAGAAAACTGGATCATTGTCATTGACGTCTGTCACATTGATCTTAATTAGTGCCAACGCCGACAGCGGCGGACTGCCGTGGTCTACGGCCCTGATGGTCAACTCGTAGGTGTCATGGATCTCCCTGTCCAACAAGTCTCTGGTCCAGATCTGACCGCTGATAGGGGAAAGGCCAAACACGGAGGTGTAGCGGTTGCTGAGAAAAGAGAATGAGATCTTCTTATTGTTCCCAGAGTCGTTATCGCTGGCCGTCACGTTGTTGATAATAAATCCCACTTTGACATTTTCAGAAACGGAGAAGTAGTACACTGGCCGGTCGAACCTGGGGGCGTTGTCATTGACGTCCTTCACATTCACGGTCAGGGTCATGTTGGCGCTGAGGCTTTTCGGAGTTCCCTGATCCTCAGCAATAATAACGAGGGAATATTTTGTTGTCCTCTCGTAGTCAAGACTGCGGCTGACATTAATTTGTCCATCACTGATAGAGAAAGTGTCCCCAAATGTATCCAGCAACCTGTAGCGTACCGTCCCATTTTCTCCTAAATCCTTGTCAAGGGCTTTGGCCTTGTACAGGCCACTGCCTATTGCTTCATCTTCACGAACCTCAAGTTCAAGCATTGTGGTCGCAGGAAAATAAGGGGCATTATCATTTACGTCTAGGATAGTAATATTCACCTGAAGAAAAGTAATCTTATTGTCATTACTTAGAAAAGCTAATCTTGAAAAGTAAAAATGATTACAAGTTATCTTCCTTCTGTGAGTTTAAAAAGTAAATGCATTTGGCATAGGTGTTGACTTTGGTTTCAAACTGGCATATTTATTCAGACCTGGCGAATGACATTTTTTTTTTATATATGACTTTGATTTTTTAAATGTAAGAAACTCTTTTACATAGTAAATTGGTTATTCTTCATACACAGACATATGGTTATGCAGGTTTGGTTTTCTAAGTGATGTTTTGCATAGAACCCTGCTTCCAGCTCCCAGTCTAGCTCATCCAGCGCAGCTGTTTAAAAGATAAACGCCTCTTACCTGGGCTACTGCAAAGACAGGTGGGAAATAGGCCTCTGCGTGGACGCTCAGCACAACGAATGGACTCAGCTCTCTGTCCAGGGCGGAAATGGTGGTGATGACTCCCGTGGAATTGTTCACCCTGAACCACTCAACCGTCTGAAAGCGGGTTTTGTAGATAATTTCTGAAAAGAAACCAATATTCTGTGTAACATCGCTCTAATGAAGTTTACTTTTAAAAATAAGCAAATGTTACAGTTGTAGTAACCATCTAATAAAGACATACGGCTAATACTGACAACTTATAACTATAGAAAACTTCAGTTTATGCATCCAATAAAGCTCAAACCAAATGGTCTATTCCCATACACGCATTTAGTGTGCACCGATCGCAAACTGCAAACCCCGCCTACTGATCTTACTTTCCTTATACGTAAACAAATGATAATACATCCCCTTACCGTTGGTTGGATCACCTGGGTTATCCAGGTGAGCCTCGACTTTGCCCACAATCTGACCGAGACCGGCCGCCTCGCTGATGGTGAAGTTGAACATGGTGGGGGTGAAAACCGGCGGGTGCACAGTGCCGCTGATGACACTGACAGCGACGACGGCATTGTCCAGAGATGTCAGGCCCCCACCATCTGTGGCCCTGACTGTAAGTGTGAGGAGCCCTCCTGGCAGGGAGCCGATCAGTGAGATGGCGCCTGAGAGAGAGATACAGAGAGGATCAGTTGGACATGTTAACTATTCAACTAAATTGTATTTTATAACCATAACCCCATGGGGTTAAACATGGCTGCATGGGTTTTACGCAAAGCTACCGATATTTTCACCAACAACTCAAATAATCGTTTATAGACCATCTCCTAAACCCAGTGACACCACAATGGGCACCAAGTCAACATCTGAGTCCACATCAGCAGAAATTCAGATATGCTGGAAGCCTTCAAGTGAAGGATTGGAGCATGAGATTATCAGCTTGGGTAAAAAGCTTGTGGAAAAACTGCTCAAATATGAAGCAGGCATTAAATATCCATCTCCTTGTTCATTGCAGCACTTCTCACCCACAACATAGTTGATGAACTACAAGACATTTTTATTTTAATATTGAAGACGCTAAACAGGGTGATCCAAAAAGTTCAACAAACAACAGATCTGAACTCAATGCATCAAAGAAATGTTCAACTTCAAGCAATTTTGAACACCAACGCAAAATGTATCATCATCGGAACAAAAGAATAAAACTGAAAGTTAACATTTTTGTAACTTTTCAATGATTCTGGAGAGTTGACGGCTATCTTTAAAACCAGAGTAAGCTTGAGACACTGGTAGCTGTGCAAGGACTTCAATCTATTCTAAATCTTTACCCCTGGATGTGAGTTACTCATTAAACATATAAAATTGATTGAATCCAAGCCCTCTAAACACTACGTGTCTATTTATAGATGTTAGCCGTTGAAGTTGGTTGACATTTGAAGGTTTAAGTTGTGAGTTAATCACTTGTATCATGCGATCACATCAGGGATAATGAATTACTTATTGCAATAAGGAATACTTTGTAGTTTCTATGCAAACGTTTTTACAAAATAAATATAATTTACAACAGCAACCATAATGGCGGTTACCTTTCTAGTTTTAAAGTGAGAATCAGAACACATTATTTCAACCCTCTTTCAACCTGGAACTGTACACGTGTCACCTCCATCTCTTCAACCCTCTTTCAACCTGGAACTGTACAGGTGCCACCTCCATCTCTTCAACCCTCTTTCAACCTGGAACTGTACGGTGTCACCTCCATCTCTTCAACCCTCTTTCAACCTGGATCTGTACAGGTGTCACCTCCATCTCTTCAACCCTCTTTCAACCTGGAAATGTACAGGTGTCATCCCCATCCCATTCAACCCTCTTTCAACCTGGAACTGTACAGGTGTCACCTCCATCCCTTCAACCCTCTTTCAACCTGGAACTGTACAGGTGCCACCTCCATCTCTTCAACCCTCTTTCAACCTGGAACTGTACAGGTGCCACCTCCATCCCTTCAACCCTCTTTCAACCTGGAACTGTACAGGTGTCACCTCCATCTCTTCAACCCTCTTTCAACCTGGAACTGTACAGGTGTCACCTCCATCTCATCAACCCTCTTTCAACCTGGAACTGTACAGGTGCCACCTCCATCCCTTCAACCCTCTTTCAACCTGGAACTGTACAGGTGTCACCTCCATCCCTTCAACCCTCTTTCAACCTGGAACTGTACAAGTGCCACCTCCATCCCTTCAACCCTCTTTCAACCTGGAACTGTACAGGTGCCACCTCCATCCCTTCAACCTGGAACTGTACAGGTGCCACCTCCATCCCTTCAACCCTCTTTCAACCTGTTCAGGTGTCAAACTGATCCTGACTGAAGAGTAGGAATGCTGAGAGCGCTTTTTTGTCTCCTGGTGTTCATATAGCTTGCCACGTTGGATGTTGCTCACAGCCTTTATGGGGATTTTCACAGGTGCCTATTGACAATTTAACTGCCTGCCCACCCATTGACAGGTCTCGTCATGATCCCGCCCAGGAAGGAAAAAAAAAGCGGCAGCAACTTCAGCTTTAACTGTATTCGGAATCTGGAGTAAAGCACCGCACTAACAACTCCAGGATTGTTTCAATATCCCCACCCCATATTTGTCCACTGAAAATGAACATACAAGAATATAAAGGGTAGTACACGTTAGAGTTTATAAATCTACTTGTTTCATCTGAGATCCCACTTACCTGTGTCTGCGTTTATACCGAAGATTTGATTGTCATTGCCGCCAATAATCGAGTAGGTCACGGTCCCGAATATCCCACTGTCTCGGTCCCTGGCTTGTACATTGACCAGTGGACCAGGTGAGGCGTTGAGCATAACATTGATGGCGTACTCCCTGGGCTCAAACCTAGGGTGGTTATCGTTGACATCGGATATCTCCACTCTGACAACAGCCTGGGTGGTTAGGTTATCTGTGGGGGAGAATATAGAGTTAGGAAGGAATGTTAGGGTAATGCATGTAACATGGAGTAACTGGAAAATGACATATTGTATCCGTGCATTGTTATGTGATATCAGTGAGGTATCGTGTGACATTATAGTGCAATGTGGTATCAGTGAAATGTCAAGTGGCATTAATGCAATTTCATGTGCTTCCAGCGAAGCGTCTTCAGTGACATGTCTAATGATATTGGTGAAGTGTCACATTTGGGTCGGTTAACTAAATCGGGGAGGTCACTTTGTTTTTTTGTTGACCATTTCACTTGACATAAATAGGGGCACTTCATATGATGTCCAAATCATCACTGTTATAGTTGAGAACACAAGCTGATGTCTGTTCAAATATTTGTTATAAGTAATGTGAGTTCAGATTATTAAGCTTATTACATGGCAAGGGGTAGGCCGTGAGTGGGGGGGGGGGGCGCTTATCAATGACTTCAAGGTCTCTGAGATCTAAACAAATCTTTAGAACCGCGGCGGGTGGGAAGGGGTAGGGCGTGAGTGGGGGGGGGGGGGCGCTTATCAATGACTTCAGGGTCTCTGAGATCTAAACAAATCTTTAGAACCGCTGCGGGTGTGTGATGTGAAGACAAGAATGGATTTGATCCACGCCATTAAATTAACACAATGACCAAGAACTCTAACTCCTGCCCCGAGACCGTGTTACTTGTCTCCCTTGACGAGATCACGCTGTCATAACAAGTGCAAGAGGTAAAAATGATTGTTTCAAGTTGCGGACCAAAACCTGTTCTTTTAACATTCACAACAGGTAAGTCCATCAGGCCCAGGTAGGGAGGAAGGATGAATACCAAATGTGGGGGGGGGGGGGGGGGGGGAGAGAGAGAGTCTAGGGAAAGTGTGTACACGTGTACATCTGAATTCGGTCTGGTTAAACACTGAAAGTGTGTGTACTTTTACAACCGAGGGCCTTCAGGGAACACATAACCAATGGTTTGACACTCAATTTTTAATTGAAGCGATAGGAGATTTGGGGGTGGGGTGAACTTAAAAAAAAAAACAACCTTAAATGAACCATTGAAATCTTGAAAGATCGTCTTTTTTTCAACTATCGGAAGCTCCTACTGAGATACATATTGATATTTTGAACGGTCTTCTACTTTCAGATTGTGGAAGCTCCTATTGAGATCAATATTGATATTTTGAACGGTCTTCTACTTTCAGATTGTGGAAGCTCCTATTGAGATCAATATTGTATATTTTGAACGGTCTTCTACTTTCAGATTGTAGAAGCTCCTATTGAGATCAATATTGTATATTTTGAACGGTCTTCTATTTCAGATTGTGGAAGCTCCTATTGAGATCAATATTGATATTTTGAACGGTCTTCTACTTTCAGATTGTGGAAGCTCCTATTGAGATCAATATTGTATATTTTGAACGGTCTTCTACTTTCAGATTGTAGAAGCTCCTATTGAGATCAATATTGTATACTTTGAACGGTCTTCTAATTTCAGTAGAATATATATATATATAAAACAGAAAATTAATACCCCAAACTAAAAAAGTACGCCCAAAAGACGTTTGAAGGGACGACTACACACAGTGATGGACGACTACACACAGTGATGGACGACTACACACAGTGATGGACGACTACACACAGTGATGGACGACTACACACAGTGATGGACGACTACACACAGTGATGGACGACTACACACAGTGATGGACGACTACACACAGTGATGGACGACTACACACAGTGATGGACGACTACACACAGTGATGGACGACTACACACAGTGATGGACGACTACACACAGTGATGAAACTGCATCTGCTAGACAGTCTTTAACTTAGCCACTACCAGAAACTGCATCTGCTAGACAGTCTTTAACTTAGCCACTACCAGAAACTGCATCTGCTAGACAGTCTTTAACTTAGCCACTACCAGAAACTGCATCTGCTAGACAGTCTTTAACTTAGCCACTACCAGAAACTGCATCTGCTAGACAGTCTTTAACTTAGACAAAATCTCTAAAAAAACAAAACATAATCAGTACCCTATCCACATCCTAGGTGTCATATCCTATCCACACCGCCAGTACTCTTTACTATCCCCAGCATTATGTCCTGTTTACATCTTTGGTACCCTATCCTATGCACATGTTCGTTAATCCATTGTCTCCATCCTATGCACATCACCAGTACTCTATCCCGTCCACGTCATCGGTACTCTCTATCCAAAACAACTAACCTGTATCCACGGCCTCCACCTGGAACTGGTAAGAGCTGTCGCTCTCATAGTCCAGCGGCGCCCGCACACATATGTCCCCGGTGTTGGGGTCCACCCGGAACTCTGTGAGTGGCGCCAAGGTCAGGGCCATCCTGTAGGTCACCGGCGAGTTTCGGCCACACTCGGGGTCAACAGCTGATACCTGCGGGGTGGACAAATTGGCAACGGTCAGTCATGCGTCGAATAATTTGACAATTTAAGAAGCATCTATAGTTACTAGACATGAATACAAAAAGGACAAGGATGCAGTAGGCGTTGATGAAGACCTCTTACCGTCGCGTTTTTAAAGGCGTGGTAGGTAATTAGAAATAAGGACCTGGGAGAGCTCAGCTGGATTTTTTACAAAAGGACTATGTGCCGTATTTCACTTATGTGCGCGGTTCCTTGATTGGGATGGAAGCCTGACGCAACCCCCCCCCCCCAACCATTTAGCCCCTATCTCATGAGACAGCGAGCGGCGATCGTTGTAACGTGACGTGCCGGGTAGCCCAGTGTTACCGAAAATGGCTGGCAGTTAAATGTGAATGAAGCCAAGGAGACACGTTTATTGGGCACTGAAATGCGCTTGTTACCGCCATGTGCGACTGGTGAGTGGCGACTGGTGAGTGGTGTTTATAGGGTGGCGATTAGTTTAGGGTGACCGTGATTGGGGGGTGGGGGGGGGCTCGTTGCGATGTGACTGTTCTGCCTTGTGACTATGTAACTGAAATGTGACTTTTTTTTTGTCAGTGGGCACTCATGTTTGATGCCTACTGTACGAGTATTATGACTATTTTAAAAGACATGGCAACTGTATAAAATGCTTACTGTATTAGGACTACGATATAGTGTACTGTAAAAGACAAGATTACTCTATATGGCAGACAAGACTACTATATAATGCAAGACTGCTCTATAAGGCAAGATTACTGTATAAGGCAAGACTAGAGTATGGTATAATGCAAGACTAGAGTATAGTATCAGGCAAGATTAGCGTACAGTAAAAGTCAAGACTTGAATATAGTATAAGACAAGACTACTGTCTAAGGCAGGCCAGCACCCACTTGGCGGCCCGCGAAGTAACGGAAATATTCTTTATTACTATTTTCTTAATTAATAGCCTTCGCCTTCGCCCTTGTCCTATCATCTTTCGGCCCGCACAAGTTTTTCCATAAAGTATTACGGCCCGCCTTACATTTTGAGTTGTGCAGGCCTGGTCTAAGGCAAGACTGGAGTATAGCATAAGGCAAGACTACTGTATAAGAAAAGACTACTGTATAAGAAAAGACTACTGTATAAGAAAAGACTGCTGTATAAGGCAAGACTATACTACTGTATAGCAAGACTACTGTATAAAAAGAACACTGCTCAATACCGTACATTGAGCAGAAGTCGGCAACATTTTGATAACATGTGCCGAAGATGGATTTCCAATCATTCAGCGTGTGAATTATCTTGACATTTTACAGTTGATCTTATAAGACGCATTTTAAGTCACTTATTTACATATTTTGGTCTTCCAAGTGCCATTACCAATTGCTCAAGGTGCCAAGTCTGGAACGCGAGGACTTGGCACGCGGGCAGGCACTAATAAATAGTACTATAAGTATAACGTAGTCATGTATAATGTTTAATGCATAACTAATAGTTTTATAGGACAGGACAATTGTATAAGACAGGACTAATGTATAAAGACCACTCAACTGCCTACTGAAATGACTACTGTCTAAAGACTACTGTCTACTGAAATGACTACTGTCTTGTCTAAAGACTACTGTCTTGTCTAAAGACTACTGTCTACTGAAATTACTACTGTCTTGTCTAAAGACTACTGTCTTGTCTAAAGACTACTGTCTTGTCTAAATACTACTGTCTTGTCTAAAGACTACTGTCTACTGAAATTACTACTGTCTTGTCTAAAGACTACAGTCTTGTCTAAAGACTACTGTCTTGTCTAAAGACTAGTGTCTTGTCTAAAGACTACTGTCTTGTCTAAAGACTACTGTCTTGTCTAAAGACTACTGTCTTGTCTAAAGACTACTGTCTATAATAAAGACTGTCTACTGAAATAACTACTCTCTAAAGATTACAGTCTAGTGAATTGACCACTGTCAAAAGATTACTACTGCCTACTGAAACGACCACTGTCTGAAGACCATTCTCTAAATGACTACTGTAAGTTGACCACTGTCTGAAGACCATTCTCTAAATGACTACTGTAAGTTGACTACTGTCTTAAGACCATTCTCTAAATGACTCCTGTAAGTTGACCACTGTCTGAAGACCATTCTCTAAATGACTACTGTAAGTTGACTACTGTCTGAAGACCATTCTCTAAATGACTACTGTAAGTTGACTACTGTCTGAAGACCATTCTCTAAATGACTACTGTAAGTTGACCACTGTCTGAAGACCATTCTCTAAATGACTAATGTAAGTTGACCACTGTCTGAAGACCATTCTCTAAATGACTAATGTAAGTTGACCACTGTCTGAAGACCATTCTCTAAATGACTAATGTAAGTTGACCACTGTCTGAAGACCATTCTCTAAATGACTAATGTAAGTTGACTACTGTCTGAAGACCATTCTCTAAATGACTACTGTAGGTTGACTACTGTCTAAGGACCATTCTCTAAATGACTACTGTAAGTTGACCACTGTCTAAAGACCATTCTCTAAATGACTACTGTAAGTTGACTACTGTCTGAAGACCATTCTCTAAATGACTACTGTAGGTTGACTACTGTCTAAGGACCATTCTCTAAATGACTACTGTAAGTTGACCACTGTCTAAAGACCATTCTCTAAATGACTA